GAAACCATAAAGAAGAATATACATATTTTTTAATTCTTATTTCTAGGTTCTTTTAGAGACTTCTGTTGTCCAGGCTAGATTTCAGTGGCCCAATCACAGATCACTGTAGTCTCAAACTCCTGGACTTAAGTGATCCTCCCATCTCAGCTTCCTGAGTAGCTAGCTGGGACTACAGGTGCACTCCACCATGCCCAGCTAATTTTTAATTTTTGAAAATTTTTGTAGAGATGGGGTTCTCGCTGTGTTGCCTAGGATTCTCTCTCTTTTATTATGATAAATTATACATAACATAGAATTTACCCTTTAAAACATTTGTAAGTATACGGTTTTGTTGGCATTCAGTACATTCACATTATTGTGCAACCATCATCATCCATCTCCAGAACTCTTCCTCATCCCAAACTGAAACTATGTACCCATTAAACAATAACTCTCCCATTCTACCCCCACCCCAGTGGTTCTCATTTTTTTTTTTTGCAATAAAATGTTCTTTCCGTATTCACTAAAATATCAGAAATCATTTAATTGGCTAGAGTGGGTAACTGCAAACAATAAGAAGACATAATTAGGAAACTAAGCTTTTGCAATGCCATTTCTGTTTCTAAAAATTATTCAACTAAGGGTATATCTTTTACAGAGGCTGCTTGATTTCTCATTTGGAAACTTAAACAAATTGAAAAAAACCAACATTTTTTTTTTCTTGAACTTTCTGTCCTCAGTCTAAATTTATACTGAAACAAGCTTTTGTTTCATTCATAGTTATTTCTTTAGGGCACTATTTTCCATCTGCTTATTCACAGCTAGAAACCATAATCTTCTTGACCTACTAATCTGTTCTGTGGTGATGAAGTGATGAATCACGTGATAAACAAAAGCTAATGATCCTTTTGGCAGAAAATAAATATGGGAATGGAATGCTCAATAAACAAAGATATTTTCCCCTACATCAAATCCATTATAATAAAATAAGAAAAAAGAAATATGTAACTTTTTTCAGAAATGTCTTCAAGAAATTGTGAAACATTTGCATTTTAATCATTGTTGAGTTGAATGCCTTTAATATTAATGTGTGAAACCATCAATTTAAATAGGAACTACTAGATCTCAGATCTATCCTTTTTTAAAAAGAATACTTTATTACTATTAAAATTTTGATATACTATGAAAACACCATATGAATCATGGCTGTAGTCTTTTACTGCTAAACTCTAGATCTCATATTATAATTTTAATTCCAAATACATTAATAATTATTAATCCACTTTATTACTCAAACAGAGTAAAAGGAACTGATAAATCAAATGAATATACAAGTCAAAACAAGTATCTAAAAACCTAAAACACAGTGCCAGATATAGTTCCTATGAATGCTAATAAATTAATGTTAAGAAATAGCTTGCATTCTTTGACTCTTACTATGGAAAACATAGGGAAGAACTAACTGAGAGAAGGGGTAGAGATTACAGAAAGATGGTTTTTTTCCTTTTAATTCTTTTAGTATAGGCAGGGCACAGTAACTCATGCCTGTAATCCCAGTACTTTGGGAGGCAGAAGTGGGAGGATCCCTTGAGGCCAGGAGATTGAGAACAGCCTAGGCAACATAACGAGACCCCTTCTCTATTTATCTATTTATTTGAGTATTATATTGCTATAAGAAAAAATTGTTTCTTGATACCTAACAAGTAAAAAGAGCTCAGGTGTTGATTAACTTGAATTTGAACTAGAGCAATTAAACTTCAAGAAAGCAGCTTTCGGCTGGGAGCAGTCACACCTGTAATCCCTAGCTGGGAGGTTGAGGCGGGAGGATC